TGAGCCAAGATCACGCCACTGCACTCCAACCTGGGCGACAGAGTGAGACTCAATTTCAAAAAATAAATAAAAATAAAAATAAATGAATAAAAACAGTCTGACTCTGGCCAGGTATGGTGGCTCACGCCTGTAATCTCAGCACTTGGGAGGCAGAGGTGGGTGGATCACAAGGCCAGGAGTTCAAGACCAGCCTGGCCAACATGGTGAAACCCCGTCTCTACTAAAAATAAAAAAAATTAGCTGGGTGTGGTGGCGAGTGCCTGTAATCCCAGTTACTTGGTGGGGCTGAGGTCGGAGAATCATTTGAACCTGGGAGGCGGAGGTTGCAGTGAGCCAAGATGGTGCCACTGCACTCCAGCCTGGGCGACAGGGTGCTACTCTGTCTCAATAAAAGGGAAAAAAAAAGTGTCAGTCACAACAAAGCCATCATAGTTCTTGCCAGGCGCTGGGTGTGTAGAGTGAGCCACCTTTCTCCCATCCGTGGTCATGGAGGTCTTACTACTGCCTTCCCTGGTCCCTGCCTCCACTCGGATTGGGAGCAAATGAGTTCCAGACAGGGTGGATACAGGTTCACTACATCTAACAGGTCCCTGGCAGTCCCGGCCTCCCTCCCATCTTTTAGTGTCTCCAAGGTTGCTGATGGCTGTCCAGAACAGTAAACCTAAGCAAGGAGGTCTGCCAGCTGTCCAGGTCTGGCTAAGCTGACTTCAGGCTCAGTCAGACCTTAGAGGACAGGCCCCTCTTTCTCTTAACGCACAGGTGCGCAGACACTTGAAACCACTTCTAATTTGTTTCTGAATATAACTGTAAGAGACTCAGCAGGGTCACATTCTCCTTTGGTGGGGTTGCCATGACAACCACAGTCGCATCCATCTGGCTTTGCCAGCTCTGTTCCCAGAGGATTTTTTCCAGCGGCAGCACCATCTAGCCCTGAGAGGGGGGAAGAGAGAGAATGTGTACATTCGTGCTCCCTTATGCTCCCGTAGTTCACCCAGTGCGAACTACCCCATCTTGGGTGAACCTAAAGGAATTTACTGTATGCCTTGTGACGTATGAGGGAAAGGAAGTTTCTCTTTTTCTTTTCTTTTTTTTTTTGAGACTGAGTTTTACTCTTGTTGCCCAGGCTGGAGTGCAGTAGTGCGATCTCGGCTCACCACAACCTCCGCCTCTTGGGTTCAAGCGATTCTCCTGCCTCAGCCTCCCGAGTAGCTGGGATTACAGGCGTGTGCCACCACATCCAGCTAATTTTGTATTTTTAGTAGAGATGGTTTTTCTCCATGTTGATCAGGCTGGTCTCGAACTCCCGACCTCAGGTGATCCGCCCGCCTCGGACTCCCAAAGTGTTGGGATTACAGGCGTGAGCCACCGTGCCCGGCCAGGAAAGAAAGTTTAACCTCCAACTCTGACAGAGACTCTCAGACATTAATTTACAACAACTGTGTCAAGTGCGAATTATTACCCCATATTAGGTAATTTGCCCAAAGGCAGTGTCAGAATTTTAACCCAGCTCGGTCTGACCCCAAATACCATCCTTTACTCACTAAGCCCACTGCTTATCTATTGAGAACTGCCCAAGTAGCTGTTATCGCAGTGGGAGTTGGAGAAAGAGCTGTCAGAGTGCGTGTCCAACGGTCATGCAAGGCAAGGCAGGCCAGGGCTTGTATTTGGTTCACAGGCTTGGGCAGAATGCGAAGTAGGCGCAGAAAGAGCAGAACCCTGGAGTCCGGAGCTTGCACGGGATGTTCGGCTCTGTCAGAAGTCCCCTTTGCTGGGAGCCGCGCTGGCTCAGGCCGGTTGCCCTGGCACGCGGGGAGGCGAGGCTACACGTTCGAGGCCAACCTGGTCAACACTGATTTAAAAAAAAAAAAAAACAAAACTTTAACAGAAGTCCCCTCTGCTTGCAGAGAGCACCTACCGAGAGCCCCATCTATCCCTTCAGGAAGGGGAAGTGGTATGTGATGCTGGGGAGGTAGGCTGGGCAGGAAAACTACGCCAGACATCAAAATCTAAAGCTTTGCTTCAGCCGCGAAAATGCAGGTGCTCAGAAACTCGAGAGCAAACAAGACAAAGAAAATGAAGACGCTGTCCTTGAGATTGTTTATTTCCTCGTGACTACTGGGATGAGTAAAAAAATAAAATATGCTTATTAAACGTGTGTCAAAACATAATACACACCTACTCGCAAACGTAGCAAGAGAGGTTGCTTTAAGAAGCGCGACTCTTCAGCGTCTCGTGACCGCCGGTCTCTACAGGCTGTTCACACTAGCCAATCAGGAGCCAGGAAACCTCCTAGAGGGCCGGAAACTTTCCAAGGCGCCCGCCGATTGGCTGTACTTGTGGAGGGCGGGGCCGGGGCCCCCAGAGAGGGAATTAGTGAGCTGGTGAGTGGGCGCCGCTGCCGCCGCCCCCGCCGCCGTCGTCTCCGTAGCAGCCTTCGCCACGCCGGGGTCTTCAGGTGAGCAGGCCCTGTTCTGGTCCAAGGACTCCCCATTCCCGCCGCCGACCGCTTACTCACCGGCCTTGGAGCCCGCTCCGCGGGGGCCCGCCCCCTTGGC